AATGGGTGAAATACAATGTTTACTCCTGAGTTACTTTAATATAGGGAGGAAAACAACTCTGAGAAGTGTAAACAAAGAGTTGTAATTAGTCTGGCTATATGTTATACTAAAAAAGGCATTGTTTAATTATACAGCTTTGAGGAGAAGTTTAATACGTATAATAACATAACACTGACGTCACTACACTCACCCAGACATCCAGGAATATCCATGTGACGCCAGTAACTTCCACCACACAACCACTACATCAATGAACCATTATAATAACCATAGGGTATTAACGATTCAGGCCTTTAAATAGTCTCTAAAACCCTGACTTTGAACACACTGCCATAATACACCCCTTCCTACCTTCCTTCCCTTCCATCTTTCTTTCCCACCCTTCTATCTTTCCCTCTCTTCCTCCTTACCTTCTCACCCTCCTTCCTCCTTTCCTCCCTACCTTCCTTTCCCTCTCTTCCTCCTTACCTTCTCACCCTCCTTCCTCCTTTCCTCCCTACCTTCCTTTCCCTCTCTTCCTCCTTACCTTCTCACCCTCCTTCCTCCTTTTCCTTCACTTCCTCATTCTTCTCTCCCAACCAAACCCTTGAACTCTCCTCATTGGTCATGACAAAGTGGAATCCCTTTACAGTTTATAAGCCATGGTCCTTTATACAGTGTGGGGAGAAGGGAGCTTGGAAGACTCTCCTTGGCCCCGTGGAAACGCATGAGTAACGCCAGATGATGTGACGTTCTCGATGACCTCTTGTTAAAAGTTAAAATGAATCTTTAATGGTATTCCAGGAATCAATGCGTGGGAGGGAAGGAGGTGAGAGAAGGTGGGGGTAGGAGGAGGGGAAGTGAGAGGGAGGTGGGAGGGAAGGAGGTGAGAGAAGGTGGGCGTAGGAGGAGGGAGGGGGGTGAGAAGGCTGTGGGAGGGAAATGAAAGGTGGAGGTGGATTGATAAAACACTGAACCGGATCTAGGTAGTTATTTACATTGAGTATAATAATATAAAGACGTTTCTATTATTGATTTATCTATAAACAACAGTGACATTAAAACCTTTACCAGTCGTTCAGTCTTTGTGTATTATAGTAAACATCTTTATAACTAAGAGACAAATACCAATGAAATTTTACCAATCTGTAAAGTAATTCCCAGAAGAAGATATTGGCCTTGCAGACTAAATTATTATCAGATAAGATCAAAGAACGTCAGTTGCTTTACGAGTTCCCTGGGTGTGTTCCGCCTTATGATATGTGGCAGTCCAACACTCTACACTGCAGTTACATCCTTGGGTATAGCGCCACTGCAGACAAAAGCCGGGTGATTATTTGTCTGGCGGAGTGGAGTGGATGATGGTGACTGCTGGCGCTAGTGCTATTGTTATTGTCCAGTCTGGTGAGGGAGAGTGAAGAAACACCTCACTATCACCCGGGAGGAGAAAGGATTTTTTTTTAAACTAAATATCCTTCGCGTTATTGATATTTTTCTCCCCATTTTCCTGTGTGTGTGTGTGTGTGTGTGTGTGTGTGTGTGTGTGTGTGTGTGTGTGTAGGGTAGAGGGTAGGAGCCGTGTGTATATTTTGTTCGTCCTCCACATATTTATCAGTTGTCAGCAGCAGGAGGTGGACACAGTACTGGCCGGCTGTCACACCCCCAGCCCATTGATCTGAGTTAACTTGTACGCTATGGTGACGTCTACTATGAGAAGGACGTACTCTATGTTTTCATTTAAAATATAAAACTAAAGGGAATTGTCACCAAATTTACAGTTATTAAGAGTTTTTCCCTTTAAGTAAACAAGGAAGGATATGAAGAAGAAGACTAACTCACTTTATAAATAAAAAGTTAGAGTAGCAACACCAGGGAGGAACAACCACACATGCTACTCGTGCCAGATGTATGTTATTTTCAGGCTTAAGGCGCCAATAAACTGACAAGAGAGGCGGCGTTCTCCTGTACATCACCTTGACATAATGTACTGGCCTCTCCTCCGTCATCAACCCAACACTTGACTTGACCTCATAATTCTCGACTCTCAAGTGTGATCTCAGTGTTGACGAGATGAATCAACACAACTTTTTATGTCCATTAACTAATAATCTTAAATTCTAGCCAGTCAATATAGTATGCGGTGGTCTAGTAGATACAACCCTTATCTCGTGATCTTTGGGTTCATGGATCGCACCCAGGGCCCTCCCCCCGCCTCCCAGTCCAACTAACTTTATTACAGTTGAGGAAGTGAAGGTTTGTCTAGTACAGTACACTTGATATTTGCTCTATACGCACACGGGAATTACTTTCACTTTTCCAATTCGTAAACAAACAAGAATTTTTTTAAATCTTCAAACGAGAAATTGAACTTTAAAGCCCCAAATAATTCATGTTCTTGTCTTGGTAATACTTTACTTTAGTGGCCAGATCTTCTTGTTTATGTTTAGTGAGTCGACTGCCTGTTGTGTGTGGTGGCAGGTGGTGCACAGGTGGTGGAGCAACACGTGGTGCTCAATATTGATCCTTACCACAACAGAGAGGTGTGGTGGTGGTGGTAGTGCTGGTGGTGCGTGAGGAAGGGGGAGCTGGCGGTGGTGGCGAATATGGGAGTGGTTATGGTGGTGGTGGTGGTCGTCGTAGTGGTGGTATTGGTAGTAGTTGTGGTAGTAGGGGTTCGCGCGTGACACTACCACATACACCACTAGATTACTAAGTGCGACCATAATAACCCTTACATACACACCTGGGCCACACTTACCTGCCTACCTGGGCTACACTCACCTGCCTCCCTGGGCCACACTCACCTGCCTACCTGGGCTACACTCACCTGCCTTTCTGGGCCACACTCACCTGCCTCCCTGGGCCACACTCACCTGCCTACCTGGGCCACACTCACCTGCCTCCCTGGGCCACACTCGGGCCAAGCGTAAGAGGTTATATTTGTTTATTTTGTTTACGACCCACAAAGTACTGTAAACACTGGCCACAACACAGACGGAGGAATATATTTGTCGTTCTTTAGTTTCTATGTATGTATGTATGTATGTATGTATGTATGTATGTATGTATGTATGTATGTATGAGACAGGTATACATCTATGCACGTAAAGATATAATTATGTATATAGGCATGAATATACGTGTAAATGTGTGTGTGTGTGTGTGTGTACTGCGCCATAATGCGTATAAATGCTTGTTGTTGAGCAACCACTGGAGTCGCGGTAACTCGGAAAACACAGGTTCGACTCCACGCTGAAGGACAGTGGCCGAGGGGAGGGGGGGGGGGGGGGGGGAGACCTGATTTATTGAGTTGACTGTTCTAATAGTTCTTAGTCCTAATAGGAGCTAGAACTTATGGGTTAGGTTAGGTTAAATTTGGTTAGGTTAGGTTAAATTTGGTTAGGTTAGGTTAAGTTATATAAAATATAGGGGGCTAATCTGCTGCTCATCTGTATTTTCCACCTTTTGAACTGCACCAACATATCTCACCTACAAGAGACGCACAGATGAGGTTAAATGATAGTGCTTTTGTTGACCTGACATACTGGGGTAGGGGGGGGAGGGAGGTAGGGTAATTATGTATTTAATGTCAGGTAGCTGTCAGGTAGAGAGGAGGGGGGTTAGGGGAGGGGGTGGAGGAGGGATGAGGTTCTTTTCATAGGTTAGGTCTGTTAGGTTAATTAGTTAGGTATTAGGGGTAGGTTAGGTTAAATTAGCTTAAGGAGAGAGAGAGAGAGAGAGATGATTAATATTTTGAAAGGAGTTGAAAGAAGAAGAATGAAGTAAAGTATATATAGAGATAGAAAAATAGCTCCTGTGGATGAAGAAAGAGAGGGGCGTGGCGTGCAGAATCCAACCACTCCCCGCTGCTCTAACACACCACTACCTACCGGAACATTATATAACTTGTATTAAAATATTCTCAAAAGACTCAGACGTTCAAGACTACCTTTACCTGGATGGGGGAAGAGTGACTTAAGTTTTTACGCCAAGAAGTTATGTTCCTTAAGACGAAGAGGAGGAGGAAGATGAGGTTAAGGAATAGGAGTAATAATGATAATGATGATGATAGCAATAATAAAATAAAAATAGAAGTAGATAAAGAGAAAACAATGAGAAGGATGAGAAGAAGAATAGCAACAGCAAAAATAGAATAAAATGGAGGTGAGGAAGAAGAAGAAGAAGAAGAAGACAACTAACCATGACCCGAGACACAATGGACGAAATTGAAGTCAGATTAAATTGAGGGAGTCGCTGTAGTTCGTAGATAGACAGACAAACCTCCAGCCAGACAGACAGACAGACATACAGCCAGACAGACAGCCAGCCAGCCAAACAGACAGACAATTTCAGGATTAAATATTTTCCCTCTTGGGTTCACTGTGTCTTGCTACAATTAACAGATCAACTTTTAATTCTACTGATTATTTTTATGAATTTTTCGTCTCTTTTAAAATATCCATCCACGTTTACACTTGGTTTCAGAGGCGAGCAGTCTATCCCTCATCCCTGCCTTACACTACAGCCTTGGTAATATGTACTGGGTTGATGACTTACACTACTACACAAAACACTACTAACGAAATTGATTATTGTTACGATGCTTAGCTAATATGGGAGTCGATTTATCATTTGTTTTTATTTTTCTTTAGTTTTTGAATTTTGTTTTTGGTTTTGTTTTTGTTTTCGTGATGTTTGGTGAAATGAGAATGAGTAAGGCATATTTTTTTTATAATCAAACGAGAATTTATTTAAAAGTAAAACCTGAGATCATGGTCAAATGAAAACCCCACCAAAAGGTAATTATAAGGATATAATTAAATTTAAATCATAAATATGTAAACAAAAGGTAAAATCAAATGAAAATCTAAAAAAAATAAAAAAACACCAAATCATAATCAAATGATAAATAGCAATAAAAAGCCCAAAACAACAGAATGAAATAGTTACATTATGAAAAAAAAAACAATAATGATATTCCTATGTTATAAAAGCTAGTGCTGTAATATAGGGATACTTACCACTAGTTCCTCATGAGGGTAGGTAGGTAGGTAGTCCTCTCTCAGCTGCAGGTGTGTGTAGAGGATGTATTGGGGCGCTACACACCTGTCAACACACCTGTCAACAAATGTGATGACAAAGTTTCCGTGTGTAATTAATCTTCTTCACACACCTGTAATTATGTGTTTTTTTCCATTAACACATATATTGTCAATGAGTTTACACCTGTTAATGAGTATATTTTTTCACATATATGGCTTAGAGTCCAAACCTGTGAGAGTTTTTTCCTGTATATGTGACTGTAAAACCAAACCTGTCAGATTACTTCTTAAACACGTCATTTAAAATTCCACACCTGTTAACAAACTTCTACATGTGTGACTTACAAACCAAACCTGTCTTTAGTTCCTCATTACACACATGACTAATAAAAGGAACACATCTTCAATCACATTTGTTTACACTAGTGACTAAAGAATCCACACCTGTAAATCACACCTCTACCCACACCTGTAAATCACACCTCTACCCACACCTGTAAATCACACCTCTACCCACACCTGTAAATCACACCTCTACCCACACCTGTAAATCACACCTCTACCCACACCTGTAAATCACACCTCTACCCACACCTGTAAATCACACCTCTACCCACACCTGAAAATCACACCTCTACCCACACCTGTAAATCACACCTCTACCCACACCTGTAAATCACTAATAAACACCCCAGGTAATGAATTTTTGTCAGTCAGCGGCGTCAACCTCACTACTATAGGTGTACAGGTAGGTGGCCAGGTACAGGTGACTACTCGCTGGTACTGTGCCCCGACACTCACTCCACCTCACCTGGGATCGATGCCAAGGGGCTGAGGTGCTTGTTAGGTGATATAGCGTTGAATAGCTGGTGGTGCTAGGGGAAGAAGGGATATCACCACCACAATGTCACCACCATAATGTCATCACCATAATGTCATCACCACAATGTCACCACCATAATATCACCACTACAATCTCACTATTCTAATCTAATCTTTATGATATGCCCTTTACAGTAAGACCACTACAATATAACTACCACAATATAACTACCACACTATCACCACCACACTGTCACAGTTTACAGAGCTGCTTCTGTTGATACGTGAAACACCTGTAATTAAGAGCAACGATGTATACATGCAACGCTGGAGACACGCACATGGTAAACGTGATACATGTGCATATCAATAATGAAGTACGTACACAGTTCGATCCTATGCACACACACACACACACAGACCAATGCATGTCACGTACACTACTAAATCAGACGTACAGTGTTGCTGCTCTCGTGTACATAACAGTAATTGACGTACATGACATCAGTGAACGTACATAGACGTGACTGAGACCACTTAAGATTGGGGCCTACTAAGACAAGGGTCCATTAGAGCTGGAACCCATGAGGACTGGGGCCTGTTAAGACTGGGGACTATTAGGACTACTGGGGTCTATTGGGACTACTGGGGGCTATTGGGACTACTGGGGGTTATTGGGACTACTGGGGGCTATTGGGACTACTGGGGGCTATTGGGACTAGTATTGGGACTACTGGGGCAGGGACTACTGGGGGCTATTGGGAACTGGGGCTATTGGGACTACTGGGGGCTACAAATGGGACCACTGGGGCTATTGGGACTACTGGGACGCTATTGGGACTACTGGGGGCTATTGGGACTACTGGGGTCTATTGGGACTACTGGGGTCTATTGGGACTACTGGGGTCTATTGGGACTACTGGGGGTACTTGGGACTACTGGGGGCTATTGGGACTACTGGGGGCTATTGGGACTAGTACTCCAGTTGATTAATAACTGACACAAATGCCAATCTGCAGCGCCAGTACAGACAGACAGACAGACAGACAAAAACAGAAAATTACTCACACAAACACACACAAACAGAAAGGTACACTCATACATACACAGACTAACACACTCAAACATACACACACACACACACACACGTCAAGCCCCTCATCACACCACCTGTGAGGGAACTAGTACTCCACGTGATGTCCCTCGTAACACCATCTGTGAGGGAGTTACTACACTACGTGTCTGCTGTTCAACACCTCAGCTCACATGATCTACGTGTGTAAACATTAACCTGTATGTTCACTACATGTTCCTTCACCTTTCTCTAATGAAGGCTTTTGTTAAACAACCAATGTATGTAATAAGTCATTTATGTCCAATGTATATTTTCAGCCTTCAGGCTGCAAACTTTTTCAATAAACCGTTTATTATTATTATTATTATCATTATTATTATTACAAACACACACAGACAGACACACTGACATAAATATAGACAGAGAAAGAAGCATACAGACAGAAATAAAGACAGACATACACACACACACACACACACACACATGAATCACGTACACGAATCACGCACGATATAGCTGCAATGTGTACGTACCCTCAATACTTGCACAACATCTCCACCTTTCACGTACACAAAACGGCTGTAGCACGTATACACAGAAGCTGCAGCTGAAGCCTTGCACAAGCTTTAACACGTACACAGGGGAGTAGCGAGGTAATGCACGTACACGAACACCAACACGTACACAGAGCGGCATTAAATCACGTGTAAAGGTTCCGATACGAACACATGATCCAAAACGTATAGAAAGAAGCATTAAAGTACGCACATAAGTTCCTTCACGTACATAAACCCTTAACACGTACACAGCAGTTCACTAGACACGTCCACGAGAGGGGGCGAGTGGCTAGTGAATGAGTGAGAGAGAGGTGAGTGTGGCGCGGCGTGGTGGGGCACTGAATGTAGGAGCAGACCTCTCGTTCTCCCTCACTACCCACCTCCCTTCCTCCTTCCCTCCCATCCTCCCTCGCCTCCTTTCCTCACCTGCCTCCTCACTCCTCAACCTCTCCTCCAACACCTACACAGACATCGCCGGATTCAGTTCAATTATTTACTCTCCTGTCGCCAGATGGTTGAATTCCCTCCTCAATGACCGATTCTTTGAACACGATAAACAAGATCGAATACGCCACTAAAAGCCATTGGATCCCCTTCTACGTCATAGTCCAAGAGGCCATAACTCTGTATACAATGTTGCTTATTAAACACGGGTGAGATCCGATTGTGGTACATCCGTGTTGTACATTTGGTCGAAAGTCGTGGTTGTTTTGTTTAAGTCATAGCAATTATATCTTTCGGAGGTATGGATGTAAGAACGGATGAATGGATGGATGTATGGATGATGTACAGTACGTGCGGACAGAATGACGGATGAATGCAGGCAAGGACAACAAATGTGCATTCTCCAGCGCCCTTTCCCTTCCCCTCCATCCTCCACCTCCTCCTCCATGGACGTCGGGGAACAACATTTAGTAATGGAATTCAATACAACGTAGCTTATAGGTGTGACCCAACCTGACCCCCATCTATGGTCGATAATAATTACTGAATCCTTCTTTATTTCTACAGCCTGAGGCGCGTTAATGGGATGTCACGGTATTGTATGTGTCGCCGTGTCCCTAAGCAATCGTGTCCCGGTGTATCGTGTTTGAGGTTGTGTCGTGTTTGAGGTTGTGTCGTGTCCCGGTGTATCGTGTTTGAGGTTGTGTCGTGTTTGAGGTTGTGTCGTGTTTGAGGTTGTGTCGTGTCGAGGTTGTGTCGCGTTTGAGGTTGTGTCGTGTCGAGGTTGTGTCGTGTCGAGGTTGTGTCGTCGAGTTGTGTCGTGTCGAGGTTGTGTCGTGTCGAGGGTTGTGTCGCTCGTGTTTGAGGTTGTGTCGTGTCGAGGTTGTGTCACGTTTGAGGTTGTGTCGTCGAGGTTGTGTCGTGTCGAGGTTGTTCGTGTCGAGGTTGTCTCGTGTCGAGGCTGTCGTGTCGGAGGTTGTGTCACGTTTGAGGTGTGTCGTGTCGAGGTTGTGTCGTGTCGAGGTTGTGTCGTGTCGAGGTTGTGTCGAGGTTGTGTCGTCGAGGTTGTGTCGTCGAGGTTGTGTCGTAGGTTGTGTCGAGGTTGTGTCGTGTTTGAGGTTGTGTCGTGTCGAGGTTGTGTCACGTTGAAAATTCTCTGGGTATATACAGTCAGATCAAATCATCATTAAAAGCTTGAGACGTGCTGAGATTACCCATCGGGATAGAAGATTAGGTTAGGTTTGGTTATGGTAGGTATATACAGTCAGATCAAATCATCATTAAAAGCTTGAGACGTGCTGAGATTACCCATCGGGATAGAAGATTAGGTTAGGTTTGGTTATGGTAGGTTAGGTTAGGTTAGGTTAGGTTAGGTTGACAGATTACCTTAGAAGTTATGAGGGGCGTTTCTACCTACCAAAGTTCAAAGAAATTAAATAATTGAAAAGACTATTCTAGAATTATCGATTTGTTGATTATTTTTTTCATAGAAGTTCCGTAAACATATTATCCTTTAGACTAGAGTTAAGACTGCTTACAACTGTCAGTACTCTTTAACTAGGTTACTTCAGGTGAAAGCATACACAAAAGGTGATTAATTACCTCTGAGAGACTATGGGACCTATGTACTTAGTAAACAACATTAACAAATAACAATGAATTTTAATCTTGTTAAATTGGCTAAACTACACAATGACGATAATCAGTATTTAATGTGTTTTTTTTTCTCCTTATTTTGGAAATTTATGGGGTAGATTTAACTTTCCTCTGTGAGAAGAAGACTCGTACACATGACAGGGGATTTTAACCAAGCAAACAGAAGCTTTATTATGAGTGAGAAAATTAGTTTTATTTACTTTTATCAGAGTTATGGCAGCTTGACTGTGTTGTAATCAAGTCTGGACTGACCATGTTAAGTATTTACACATTCAATTACATCTTTGTTTCACCATCATTAACAACAATCACTAACATAATTACTAATAGCATGATCGTAATTAGTTTATTATTATCCAGTAAGTTTACATAGCTGGAAATCTCACTTCAAAATACAGTCACTTAAAAAAAACTATCTATACCAAATTGTGTTGAAAAATTATGACACAAAGGATGAAGTATTCTGACAACCCTACCCAGACAACAGGAGTCACAGTGTTCATTCTGAAATTCATCGATCACCCTAAGTAAAGATAGTTTTTTTGAGTGATGAAGTATAAAATAAACATGATTCCTCGTACCATATGGATATTCACTTTGCTGTGTATTCTGAGATGGGTGTTTTGGCATCTGATTGACTTAGTAATTGTTTATCGATATTCCCAGAACCTGAACACCTGCCAGACAGAACACAACCGTTTATTAGATGTTCTTAACCCTGTGTTCTAAGGGAGAGCCGGTCGTGGTAGAGGTTCATTGTTATATATATATTTATCTTCAATTGACGTATACACAGCGAGGAAGATGGATATTGTTGAACTATAGTCACTGTGTAATTTTGACGTCATTTACCTTAGAGTTACCCATAGAGATGAGTTTTTATTCTCTAATCAGTTAAAAAAAAATATCTTAAGTATTGTTTTTATTAAGTCAATTCGGATCAGATTTGTATACAGTCTTAAGATAATTTCAGGATGTATTTAACTGTTTCACTTTACGACAAAATGCTAATCCAAAATGGAGTCGACATTAAACCGAGACTCTAATTGTAGGTTAAAGTGTTTTTGAGTTAAGGAATAGATGTTTAGTTAGGTAATGTTTATGATTCTGTTTGAAGAGGTAGAGAGCGTTGACAAGACAGTGGTATCTGGCAACTGTTGAACTGTTGTGACCTAGCAACCACTTGTAAACAATACTGTATGGCTCGTCGTAATTGTACTGATACATACATACATACATACATGCATACATACATACATACATGCATACACACAAGACACCAAGAGGCAGTAAGTCAGATACACAGACGCACACACACAAACAGGTAGACACAGAGAGTCAGACATACACACACACAGTCATACACACATACACTTGCACAAGTACACACAAAGAGTCATGTAAGTACAGTATTGTACATTCACACTCATGCATACAGACGCATTCATGTTCAGGCACTCAGAGGCACACACACACACACACACACACACACACACACACACATAAATCCTCATGCAATCTCTCTCTCTCTCTCTCTCTCTCTCTCTCTCTCTCTCTCACTCTCACGTATTCCTATGCGCGCGCGTGTGTGTGTGTGTAAATTGGATCGAAGTGTCGTGTTTTGGAGTGGATCCTTGTCTGAATATTTCATTACCTACCACTCACTCAAGCGCTCGTTCCGTTTCTTTATAAAGTGATACTCACTCCCAGCACTCACTCAAGCGTCAGTTCTACGTTTATTTTGTGACACTCAACCTTTAACAATCACTCAAGGGCTCGTTCATGTCGCTCTAGTAACACCCAGCTACCGCCACTGACACAAGCGCTCGTTTTCTGATATTCAAGCGCTTGTTTTCCTACACACTCACACACACACACACACACACACACACACACACACACACACACACACACACACACACACACACACACACACACACACACACACACACACACACACACCATTAAACAAGCCCAAAACTCCCGACACAGGAACGAAATTTTAAACTGTGTCGCCAGAATAAAAATTACGACGAGTGAAAAACATCTCAAGAATTAAACGACACCGAGTGTTTTGTGAGACCAGCGGCCGATAAACATTGAAATATACAATAGACAGTCGTATTTTTAGAGAGAGAGAGAGAGAGAGAGCAACGTATATCTTAAAGAGATTTCAGCCAGTGAGACAACAAGGAGGAAATATTTAGCCAATGAGAAAATAACTTTGCATTGACCGTGGAAGATGACGTCATTATTGGGAGGGGCTCATAATCAAATATAAAAGTGGGGAAATTTTTGCTTGTTTCACACTGTTGTTACCTGGAGGGGCTATGGTAACTCTCCACTTTATATGACCTGCTGTTATAATTGGTTGATTGTTCTTGCGCTTTATTCCGATTGGCTATCAGACTGGATGGCAGGGGCGTGGACGTATAAAGTCTTTTAAGGAATTACATAGGATCTGTTGTTGAGAATAAGTACTGTATCTTTGATGTTTATTATTATTATTATTATTCATTATTATGGTTTTTAATGCTGTTACTATTGTTATTATCATTACCGGGGCTATACCTATCGATTTACCTATTTATTTCAGAGGTCGGCAACCTTTTTATAGCAATCGGCCACGTTGTAAACACTGAGCATGCCGAGTCCGATCCTGTCATCGACAGTTCGATTGCGGAATAATGAGTGGTTGTAATGATGCTTGGAATAATTACGTTTTAATTAGCGGATTTTACATGACGTCATCTTGTAGTGATGTTAATTGTGTGTTTTTTATTATGGTTAACTAGTAATAATGATAAGGGTTCATGTCAGGAATTCAGTATTGGTAACGAGACAGTTTTTGTGAAGTTTATATTGTGTGTAAGGGTAGAGTAACTCATACACTCTATACACGTCTTCACACACACACACACACACACACACACACACAGAGCAGGGGTGAAATACTCAGCTGGTAGGGCACTGGCTGACGGAGGTATACCATAACCCACCGCTAAGGGAATAAGAAAATAAGGAGTCTGCAATAGGCTGGTTGGCCTGTGCATGGCAGCTCCTGTCGAGAGTTACTACCACTCTCTATCATCCATGAATCTATCTAGCCTCCTTTTAAAATTCTCCAGCGTCCCAGCACTTATAACAAAGTTGCTAAGCTTGTTCCACTCGTCCACCACCCTATTTGTGAACCAGTTCCTTCCTATCTCCCTCCTAAACCTAAACTTATCCAAC